CTCCCTGTTCAAGAATAAAAATGGAGGATTCCTTGGATGTTTGATTCAAAGAGATATGGGGGATTTTGAAAATAAATAACTTTGGAGTAGAAAATGTTACGAGGAAAGAGCACAGGGTTATGAGTAAATGTCAAGGAATATATCGAGACTCCATTTGACAGGTTTGGGCTTTTATACCGTTTACAGGCATAGTATGGGTTGGGCTTTGGATTCTAAATTGACATGGATTAAAATTCCTTTATCTATAAAGTAGGGATTTAAAAAATATTTTACTTTAATATTGAGATAATGTTGGAAGCTAGCAAATATTAGATACTTAGTTAATGTTACATTCCAACCACTTCACTCTTCCAATCTTGGAGGAAGAGGTGTCAGACTCCACTCTAAAACCAGAATGTCAGCTTTTGCATTTGAGTCTTCTGCTTACTCTTTTTGTAGAGACCTTGCTCCCTTTTTCATGTCTACTATCTTTTTTTTTTTTTTTTTTTTGCACTGGGGGCTGGACCCACCCCCCATACACCTCCCTCTCTCGGAGGAAGGGACGATGGCACCCTTGAGCCACCTTCCCCCATGTCTAGTATCTTTAGCATCTTTCATCTGTTGACTTTTTCTTTGCTTTCACAAGTGTAGAAATGTTCTTTATCTTCATTGAGTTGCTCTCTTCATTGAGTTCCCTCTTCCTTTTGCCAAGCTGTATACATGGCTTATGATCTTATTCCTTTTTTGCCTATTCACAAAATGATTTTTTGATCAGATTAAAATGTAATGCATTTGCTTGTTTTGTAATCAGCTTTGCTTTCTAAAAATTGATTTACAATTGCACTTGTTTGTAATGTCATTTTGTTTTTGTAGACTCATATTTCCAGTCAAAACTCGGAGCTCAGTAGTGCTGCTCTACAAGCCTTGGGGTTTTGCTTATATAATCCCAAAATTACTTCAGAATTATCAGGTAGATAAATTTATTATGACTATTAATATTTTTGGAGTATAAATAAAGTCTTAAGTTTAAAGTATAGTTTGATACTGTTGAAAGCACTGTTACCTCTGGATTAGTCTCATAACTTGTAGTTTAGGATTTGCTTTTAAGAAAGAAATAATGTTTACATTATCATCATCACCTAAACATAGCTCTAACTTTGATACTATCATTCGTTCTAAAAAATAAGGGCATTTTAAAAACAAAAAAATAAGGATATTTTAACATTGCTATAAAAATGGAAACCTTTATTCAAGCAAGGAACTAAGGAACATGCTGAATTGAAAAGTTTTTTTGCATAGTGGTAAATGTGGGATAATTTGAAACTGAAAGTGGTAGTGAAAGCACAGAACCTGATGCTTTCAAAGTTTTCAAGTAGTCTCAACTGTTGATCTATGTAGTTAATAGTTTGCTGTTGTAAAGGAGACCTAGGAAGCGATCTTTAGAGAGGAGAAATTAGCAATAGATAATAAAGATGTCAGGAAGTTACTGCTTCTTTTTTCTGAGGGAAAAGTTACTGTTTGTTCTTTTTTATATATGGAAGTGTTAGCAACCTAAAGCAGGAGTAGTTTATTTTGGAGCAGAGATGTAGAATTTACAGCATCTTGCCAAAAATCATCTCCTGTGTTTAAACCTACTAATGATACCTATAGTTAATTTTAGTTGCATAAATGCCTATTTATTTGTTATTTGGAGTCTACTATTTATTTTCTCTGAGTATACCTTCCCGTCTAATCTGAATTTTGTGTTTTGGGAAAGTTTGATGTCAGCAGTGATTCTTTGATCCTTCTCTTTGGATATGCATTTAATTTTATGATTAAAGAGTACTTTATTTTTCTCTACTTTTATATTTGAGATTTTTAAGGAATATAAACTATTCTATACGATTAAAATTAAAACTGCTTGTTTTTCAGAGGCAAATATTCAAGAACTGCTTTCAAAATTGAATGATACTGTCAAGAGTCCAGACAAAAATGTACGTACCAGGGCACTTTGGGTGATATCTAAGCAGACATTTCCTCCTGAAGTTGTTGGCAAAATGGTGAGTATAGTTTTTGTGTATGTCATCTTAACTCTGTGCCAGTAAAAACAATTCAAGCTTATTTGATTTGTATTTATTTGGTCTGTCTTTTAGGTACCCAGTATAATTGATTCATTAGAAATACTATTTAATAAAGGAGAGATGCATTCTGCCGTTGTTGATTTTGAAGCATTAAATGTTATCATAAGGTATGCATTTGGATGTTGTGCAAATTAGAAGAATAGATTCAGTAAATTTAGAATTTAGTTCAAGGAATGGACTTTTGGGATTTAAATTGGGCATAGACGTTAAAAGAGGGGACTGTCCTTTAGGCCACAAGACTTAAGAAAAAAGATAACTGGAAGGTGGAAGTAGATATACATAAGTTGCTAAGTTTTATTTTTACTGAGACAGTTTTAAAAGTAAACATGGGTTATTTTCCTGCTGATAACACAGTTCTCGTTTAAAAAATCATCTCCGTTAAAGCTTTTGTAAGGGTTTAAAAAAATCATATAAATCCATTAGTGAACCATAGGGGTTCTTTAGGAAGGCACTTACAGTGCCCAGTAGGAAACAGAAAAGTGCCTTCTTCCTACCCATCCCTGTTCTTAAACAGACATACTAACAGCACAAACTCTGACATACTCTGATGGTTTCTGTTTCCCCTTGTTTTTCATTCTTTAGAGTTTTCTTTAGTTGTTGAGCTATTTGCTTTAACTACCTAGTGGTCTGATGTTCTGATTAATGCTGAAATTATATCACAGTTCTCTTCTATAAAAATATTAAATTTGATAGTATAATGATAATTAGTACAATTGGCCCTTTGTATCCATAGCTTCCACATTAACTGCAGATTAAAAATACTCACAATACTGACTATTACAGACTTTTCATTCCCTAAACAATACAGTAGAACAACTGTTTATGTAGCATTTACATCATACTAGGTATTATAAGTAATCTAGACATGATTCGAAGTATACAGGAGGATGTGTGTAGGTGATATGCAAATATAGTCATGCATCGCTTAATGATGAGGATATGGTCTAAGAAATGCATCATTAGGTGATTTTGTCATTGGTGGAAACATAGAGTGTACTTACACAAACTTAGTACTGTTACTCCTAGGCTCCAAACCTGTACAGCATGTTACTGTACTGAATAGGCAGTTGTAACACAATGGTAAGTATTTGTGTATAAACATAGAAAAGGTACAGTAAATACAGTATAAAAGATAAAAAGTGGTATTATTTGTATAGGATACTTAGCATGCATGGAGCTCACAGGACTGGAAGTTGCTCTGAGTCAGTCAATGAATGAGTTGTGAGTGAATGTGAAGGCCTAGGACATTAGTGTCCACCCCTGTAGACTTTGTAAACACTGTACATGTAGGCTACACTAAATTTATAAAAAACTTTCTTGGATAATAAATTAACCTTAGCTTACTGTAACTTTATTACTTCATAAACAAGTTTTTCTTTTTGACTCTTGTAATAACACTTAGCTTAAAACACACATCGTACACCTGTACAAAAATAATTTTCTTTTGATACTTATTCTATGAGCTTTTTCTGTTTAAAAAATTTTTTTTTGCTTTTTAAACTTTTTTGTTAATGACTAAGACACAAACATATGTATCAGCGTGGGCCTACACAAGGTCAGGGTGATCAATATCACTGTCTTTCCTCCATATGTTGTCCTGCTAGAAGGCTTCAGGGGCAGTAGCAGGAGTGGAGCTGTCATCGTCTGTGATATCAGTGCCTTCTGGAATACCTTCTGAAGGACCTGCCTGAGGCTGTTTTACAGTTAACTTTTTAATACAAGTAGGAGTACACTCCAACAAAAAGTATGGTATAGTAAATACTTAAACCGGTAACATAGTCATTTATTATTAAGTATTATATACTTCACATAATTGTGCTATACTTTATGTGAAAGAGTATAGTAGGTTTGTTTACACCATCGTCACAAAAATGTTAACATAATGGACTACAACCTTTATGACAGCTACAATGTCACTAGGTGATAGGAATTTTTCACCTCCATTGTAATCTTGTGGGATCACTGTTGTAAATGCAGTTTGTCATTAACTGAAATCTTGTGTGGGACATGACTGTGCTATGCCATTTTATATCAGGGACTTGAGCATCCTTGGGAGGTCCTGGAACCAATCTCCCACAGACACCAAGAGATGACTATATTTTAAAATTTTTAATCTGAAGACAAGACAATGTGTTCGTATTTTAAAAATTTACAAAAACAATATAGAAATGTGCAAATTAGCAAGTAAATATTAGATCTGTTTCTTGTACGTGTATGCATATATGTACGTATTCTAAAACAAATGGGCCATGCTATGCATATTTCTGTGTGTCACTTATTTTCCTGGTAGTTTAGACTTAAAAACTGAAGCTAAACTATTCATTGATTTCTCTATTGTAGGCTAATTGAACAAGCTCCAGTTCACATGGGAGAAGAGTCAGTGAGGTGGGCAAAACTGGTCATACCGTTAGTGGTTCATTCAGCACAAAAGGTACATTTGCGGGGAGCCACTGCTCTGGAGATGGGAATGCCATTATTGCTTAAGAAACAGCAAGAAATAGCGTCTATTACGGAGCAGCTTATGACTACTGTAAGTATTAATTTAAGGATTTTCTGGATACTGAATCAGAGGGTTCTGTACTAAGTTTGAAGTGCAGTCTGGGCTTATATTGATATAACTGCATTATGATCTAGGAATTTAGCTTTGAATTAAAGAATTTCTTAATTTCCTAATATCTTGTGGTACAGGAAAAAAAAGAATTGCTTAAGTTAATGTAGGCACATTGCTGCTACATAACCATAAGGAAGGAAGTTGTCTATTCATTATTACTACAGTCTGTGCATTTTACCCTATCCCCAGTGAATGGGAAGTAGAAAGGCATTGTATTTTTTTAACCAGCTTTGCTTAAATGGGATTATATTTCCAAAAAAGGGAGAGTACTGATTAAGTGCTGTCTGGGCTGTTACTGCATAATGCCAACAGATAGAAATTTAATGCACATAAACTTAGTCTGTACAATTTCCTAGTTATTACTTACCTCAGGTTTTAGGTTTTCTGACCTTTGCTTTTATAACATGTATTTAGTGAGCACTTGTTATATGCATTGTGTTGTTCCAAGCACTGAATATAGCAGTGAACAAAAGGTGCTTATGGAGTTTATTTTCCAGTGGGAGAAATAATACAGTATATGATGCATTAAGTGAAGAGCACTATGGAAAACAGCAAGGACTGGATAGTGAGTGCCATCAGAGAGGAATGGTGAGGTGGACAGGGAAGTAGAATCTAGGTGTTTGTATTCTAATAGAGGAAAACTCAGATTTGATAAAAGAATAGCACATTTGAACAGTGATTTGAAAGCAGTATAGGAGATAGCCGTGTGGATAATGCGGGATAAGCTCATTCCACACAAGAGAACTGTGAGAGGAAAAGGCCTTGCTGTTACGATTGTGTGCCTGGTTGGTATACACAGGAGCCACTGGGCAGTAAAGCAACAGTAGAGTGAGTGAGGGTAAGGGGGAAGAGAGGACCCAATACATGGGTCCTTGGGAAGGCCATTGTAAGGATTTGGTTGTTGCTCTGAGTTATACGGAAAGCCATATTTAAAGATTTTGAGCCTAGGAGTGGCATGCAATGACTTGAGTTTTGAAGGAATCACTGGCTGTACTGATCTGGCTGTTTTGAGAATAGACTATAGTTGGGTGGTTGAGTAGGAGGCAGGGAGACCAGTCAGGAGATATTGCAGTAATCCAGGCAGTGAGGTTGCCTTCCAGATTCTAAAACCTGGGGTTTTATTTGTTTTTTAAATTCAGGAGGCCTCTTGGCAATGTTCAGAGTATAATTCCAAGTTATACTTCAAGTCTACTGCAAGATCTTCATAAATTGTTTTATTTTGATGAGTTTATTCATTTTTAATAGCATATATAAAATTCTTCATGAATTTGAGCTAAAATTTTCTCACGTCTGTTGGCCATGAAGCTATTAATGTATTTTTTTGTTATTAGTGTGAGAAGATTAATGTACTGTTATTTGAACTCTAGTTAATGGTGTGCATTCTGAAGTTTTTAGGGTAAAGTATAGTGGTAGGAAAAAAATACGTTGGATTGATAAATGGTAGGATGGCCAGATAGTTATAAGACAAACATAGAAAGTGTTAATGGTAAAATCTAGGTGTTTATATTCAAATATTTGCTGTAAAACTCTTTCAGATTTGCTATATGCTTCAGAGTTTTCATTTTGGGTTTTTTGGGAGGTATTTGTATTAATTATGGGAAAAATTATTTGGCTGTGGGAATCCATTTTTGAAACTTATTTCTAAATTTTGATACTGGATTTTTTTTTCCTTTCCAAGAGTTTATTTGGCAAATAATTTTGCTTTTGTTTGCAGAAATTAATCTCAGAACTCCAAAAACTATTTATGAGTAAAAATGAGACTTATGTGTTAAAATTGTGGCCTTTGTTTGTTAAACTACTTGGAAAGGTAAGTGCACAGTTAATGAACAGTCCACAGGTTTTGTGTGCCATACCCTTTCATTTCTTACCTTTCTTTAGTACAGTTGATCCTAACTATTTGCGCGTGCCTTCCTTACAAATTTGCCTACTCACTAAAATTTACTTGTAAGCTCCAAATCACTACTTGGCATAGCATTTTCTGTCATTTGTAGACAGCCAGAGCACAAAGAATTTGAGTCTCCTAACATACGTGTTCCCAGTTGAAGTCAAGCAAGGTTATGCTCTGCCTTTTTTTAGCTCTCATACCTTAAACAGTATCCTTTTCATATGGTGCCACATTTTCTGTGTTTTTTCTTGATTTCACTAGTTAAAATGGTCCTCAGACATAGGGCAAAGTGCTGTCTAGTTCCTAAGCGAAGGAAGGCTGTGATGTTTACCCAGTGGTAAAAATAAGCTTTGTTCAGGAACAAGTTACAGTCCTTGAGTTTGATGTTAGGGAATCAACAATATAAAATAAGGTATCATCTAACAGGAACATGTAAAACAAGGTTATATATTGAACAGGTGACAAAATGTTGTGACCAGAAACTCAAAGAAATCTAACCCTGTGTTTCCCATAGGAGCCATCAAAAATCACTAATTCAGCGTTTGAGGTGATCTTATAGAACATAACTACAGTGAATAATGAGAATCATTCAGCCAGTTTTTTTGGCGTTGGGTTGGGGTGTACTTATTTTATTGTGGTAAATGTTAAAACCAATTTCTGAATTGGTTGTATTTTTGTTGTTGTAGTTTATTATATATTCTGCATGTTGATCCCTTATCAGTTATGTAATTTGCAAATATTTCATTATGTAGTTTTTCTTTAGGCTTTCTTAGTAGTATCCATTGCATAAAGTTTTTAATTTTGATGAAGAACAGTGTGTTTTTTCTTTTGTTGTTGCCTGTGCTTTTGGTGCCATATTCTGCATGTTGATCCCTTATCAGTTATGTAATTTGCAAATATTTCATTATGTAGTTTTTCTTTAGGCTTTCTTAATAGTATCCATTGCATAAAGTTTTTAATTTTGATGAAGTACAATGTGTTTTTTCTTTTGTTGTTGCCTGTGCTTTTGGTGCCATATTCATGAAGTTGTCAAATTCAGTGTTGTGACTCTTTCCCTATGTTTTCTACTAAGAATTTTATAGTTCAGTTTAGATCTTTGAACCATTTTGAGTTAATATTTGGAAATAGTGTAAGGTAAGGGTCCACATTTATTCTTTTGCATGTGGATGTTCTGTTTTCCCAGCACCATTTTTTGAAAAGACTGTTTTCCTTATTGAATGATTGTGGTACTCTTGTCGAAAATGAATTAAGCATATGTGCAAGGATTTATTTCTGAGCTCAATATTCTGTTGTGTTGGCCTTCATGCCTGTCTTTATGCCATTACCATATGTTTTAATTACTATAGTTTTATAGTGAAATTCTCCAGTTTTATTTCCCTTTCAAGATTGTTTTGGCCATTGAATCTGTTGGAATTCCATATGAATCTGAGAATTGTCTTACCTATAATCTCTGAAAAAGGCTGTTGGAATCTTAATAGGGATTGCAATGAATCTGCAGATTGCTTTATTTACATCTTTAATTTCTTTTAACGCTCTGTAGTTTTCATCATCTAAGTCTGTCACTTCCTTGGCTAGATCTATTCCTAAGTATTTAATTCTTTCAGGTGCTATGTAAATGGAATTGCCTTCCTAATTTCCCTTTCGCCTTGTTTATGCTGGTGTGTAGAAATACAACTGATTTTCATATGTTGATCTTGTTCTCTGCTGAATTTGTTTATTAGATCTAGTAGTTTTCTTGTGGATTCTTTGTTATTTTCAAAGTTTTATTATTTATATTCTGTGAAGATTCCATGTGCTTTATATAGACTCTTAGGACTGTTTATGTAATTTTTTCTTGTGATGCATTGTTTACTTGTCATTTTTCCATTTTACACTCTTTTTTAGTGTTCCCATTTGAATCATATAATATTTGGAAGTATTTTAGGAGTTACCCAGTTTTCTTGGTTTTTATCTCATTTTTGCCATTTTATTATCAGACATTACCATTTTCTACATTTCTTTTTCATGCATGAGTTTCATGCATCAGTATTCCTTCCTATTTCAGTCTGTTTGAAAAGCTTGTTTTTATTAGTTTCAGGTTTCAACATTTTTCTCTAATATTGATTATATTTTTTCTTATAAATATGTGTTTGGTGGTTACCTTGATAAAATTTGGGATTTATCTACCTTCTTAATTTAATGTTTTAGAAATGTTGTTATGTGTTTACTTCATCGAGCTTTATGTTTTTGACATTGAATTTTGAATGTGTATAGAGTTCAGTATTTTCTTAAGTACCTGAGACTTTACATATCTGTTATTACACTTAACACATCTTTTTATGTTTTGTGTGTGATTTGTCTTTTGTCTCTCTGTTAGATTATGAGGTCTTGAGAGCATATGTTAAGTGAATGAATAGATAAATGAATGATAATAATGCCTTTATTTTGTTTCATGCAGATAAATAACTTTAATTATTTTCTTTTTTTAGACTTTGCATCGAAGTGGGAGTTTCATCAATTCTTTGTTACAGCTAGAAGAACTGGGATTTCGTAGTGGAGCACCCATGATAAAAAAAATAGCTTTTATTGCTTGGAAGAGTTTAATAGATAATTTTGCTTTAAATCCAGGTAAGTAAATAATATTCTACCTATTTTGATTTTTCTATAAATTCATTTAACTTAAGATAAAAACATGAAGCTTTTCTGATTCTTTGTACTTTTTATTGAAACTTAGCTATCACTGAATTTTTTTATTTTGAGGGAAGTGGGATAAATTTGTAGTGAAAATAGAATTCAAAGGCTAGACATTGAAAAACACAAATGTAAAATTTGTTTCACATTATTTCAAAAACAGAACAAAATGAAGAATGCCATTTGTGACTTTGTTAGCACTGAGTTGAGTACTTTGTGCACATCTTATTTAATCTTCACAATGGATCTGAGATACAAGTATTACTGCTGTTTTAGAGAGATTAATTTACCAAAGGACACATAGCCAATAGATGGTAGGAAACAATTGTGATTGCCATGGAATAAAAGTATCAGTGACTGGTGACCTTTTTTCTTTCAGAATCTCTAGAAAAGTACCTAGTAGAGGGCTAACGTGTTAATATATGGAAGTGATTCCTTTTGGTTTTACCTTAACCATATCTTGTCCAGTGGAGTTGTTTGGTAATATATTTGTAAGTCAGAGTATTTAGTTCAAAAGTTAGTATGAGTACTTAACTAGGTGGTAGTTAATTGTAGATTTAATCAGTATTATATGTTTACAAGATCTGCTGGGTAATGTTGATTTTAGTCCTATATTTTTTTCTGCCAAAGACCATTAGTAATCCCTTTTCTTCCTCTTTTTAGTGTTTTGTAAGATGATGTGCATTAACCATGTTTTTGTTAAAAGTACATTTTTGGAAATAATTTTTAACTGAAAATGTCACCTTTTTTTGGTTTATGAGCAGACAAGTATTTGGGTTTATCTTATGTACCCAGCAATGTGAAGTAATATTAGGAACTAAAATCTGTTGGGATTATGTATGTTTGCATATTAAAGCATAAAATAGAAATGGCTCAAAGAAAGTAAATGAAATTCCTTGTTTGAAATAAGTCCAGAGCTAGAGAGTCTGTGACCAGTATGGATTCACAAAGTCATCAGGGAATGAGAAGGCCATCTTTTTGTTCTGTCATCTTCAGTATGCCTTAAATGCAGACTATGGGAAGGGAGGGAAGGCAGAAGAGCAAAAAGGACCTCTTCCCAGCTGAGTCAGCTACCTATAAAGAGCCCCACATACACTTCCACTTAAATCTCATTGGGTAGAATGGCTTAATGGCAGACTAGAAAAAGAAGTTAAAAATTGGGCACCCATCACTGTCCTGAGTAAAATCAGGTTTTGTAATAAAAGCAGACTGGTTTATTGCATGGCAACTAGTAATCTTTGCTACTAGAAGGATATTATGGAGTCACTCTCATGAATAGAATAGGAGTCAAAAAAAGGAAGGTGTCTCTGACTAGAGGACTTGTTTGCACAGTGATCTGACTTTATTTTCTTATAGAAGTGTTAATCAAAATAGCTAAATGGCAGAGTAGTTGTAAGAAACATTTAATGAATGCCATTCTACCAAATACGTGATTTGACTGATGTTTCAAAATCCTTTTCAAGTCTTTTTGACAAGTTACTTGAGCACAGACTATGTTAATTTTGATTCCCCAGTCCTCTTCATACAGTATATTTCTGGTATAAATGTTTAAAAATTAGATTTAATTTTTATGCTAAATTTTAAAAACCTCATTATTAAGGTAGGGCAGACTTAAATCTAAATAAATCTATTTAGATTTCCAAAATGGAATCAGTGGCCAAAACAGTAATATAGTTTGATAGAATAAATGACTAGTTGATTTTTTTTTTAAATGATAGCCTTTTTTGACATAATTTAAAATTATGCCTACATTTCTTTGTCACATGGGGAAAATTAGAATGCTAAAGCAGCTAGGACAGTATTTCTCAAAGTTTTGGCATTTTTGTGCTGGATAATTTGTTGGGGACGGTCTTGGGTTTTGTAGGAAGTTTAACGGCATCCCTGGTCTCTGCTGACTAGAAGCCAGTTAGCATTCGCTTAGTTGTAAGCAAAAGTAATTATAGGCATTGCCAGATGTCCCCTGATGGGAAAATCACCCCTGGCACACAATATCTAATAAATATACCTATTGCTTTTTTAAGTATACTGTTGTCTTATTAAGTGTTTTTGATCCATCTGTACTGGAGTTTGTCAAAGTGAAAATTTTTGGTAGAGCAAAAACCGCTTGGTGATTTTTTAGTTTTTTGATCTCTTGGTGTGGTAAAAGGAGACTTGTTGCTTAGCTCATTTTTAAAATTTATCTTTAGCTCTTAAGTCTTTTACTTGTGCTTATTTTCCTTTAAGATATACTATGTAGTGCAAAAAGACTCAAGTTGTTAATGCAGCCTTTGAGTTCCATCCATGTAAGAACAGAAACTCTAGCATTAACAAAACTAGAAGTCTGGTGGTATTTACTGATGAGACTTGGACCTCATCTTCCTGCTAATTTTGAACAGGTAACGTTACAAGTGTTGACTGTAATTACTCTATGTGTTTTTTAATTAATGTGCTCTTAAATTCTTGCCAATTTTTGCTAAGTATTAGCAGACTACAATGTATAAAAGATCTGTTACCTGGCACAGAACTTCATTTCTTGCAAAGGATATTCTTCAGTTGCCGCAAATGGAATGCCTTTACTAAAGCCTTTTTAATCAGCAGACACTCAAATATCTAGAAGCATAATGATTTGTAAAAAGGACTTTTTCCCAGGGGGTTTAGAGTATAATTGAGAGTAAAATCAGCATTGGTGAAACAGAAATCAAGTGCTACACTGGAGAGATAATCAAATTTGATCAATTCTTATTTTTTGTTTCTCATTTTTTCTAGGCTACATCATGATAACCATTTAATTCCATTGTAGTTTTTTTAATTGTTGGAAAATGATTTTATAAATTCCTTTGGATTTTGATATCCTTACTAGTATTTAGATATAAAGTTTAGTCTTACCTAAACCCTTTTTTCAGCAATTATTCTCATCCTTGGTTTCTGAATTTTTTTTTACAGTTAAATGAAAAGGAGTAACTCTGATAGGTAGTCCTTGTCTGAATGCGTTTTGGAAAGGGGGACTTAATAATAAATGTACTTGAGTCATTTTAGTAAATTCTTAATTTTTTAATATATTGAGGCTTTTAAATTTGATATAACATGAAGTAATTGAGGAGGGACATTGCTTTTAATATGTAATTGGGATCATAATGAGCTTTCCAAATTCCATCACTATAACAGTTGTAACAGGCTAATCTTATTCATTTGTCCAACACATTAATTGAAATAGTATATTCAGTGACTAGATGTGACTGGTACTAGAATGATTTTAGAAAAGAGCTTTCAGTTGTCGTAGTTCATATTCTCTAGAGTGTGTTTTATAAAAGTTAAAATGAATCTGCTAATGTGTAAAACTCAGACATTATTTGTGAAAGTTTTTGTATATAAGATACAGATAATACACATTTAGGGCAAATAGTAATAAAAATTTTCATTTTCCTAAATTTCATTTATTTAGCCTGTTTGTGCATGAAAACAACTACTAAAATTCAGTATATCAAGAGAATTAGGATTGCTTTTTAAAGAAATTTATATTATGCAAAGCTTTTTAAAAAATACCACAATTATTCAGTTTTCAAATAGACATTTTCCCTACTTTCACCCCAATAGGTTTGTGTGCCTCTGATACAAAGCACAATAAGCATTGATTCTAATGCTTTACCTCAAGGCAATTCATCTCGTGTAGCTGCTTCTGCAGGGTTAAATCCTATGACTCCTATACACAAAGGTAAGCAGTAGATATTCTTGTTTTTTTCCTCTTTTACAGAAGGCTTCTAGAGGTTTTGCTCAGTGTTTTTTACATGAAATGAAGGACTTCATAATTTTTAGGTCCCTTACCAAAAAATCTATGTTCTTGTTTGTTTTCTTTATGTTACTACTTACTGTTGTGAGTGTATTATTGTGGTTAGAAAAGATGAATGTTTTCCTACCACATTATATGAAGTACATTACAAACGAACAGTTCAGAACGGCTAACATGAAATTCTGTTGGTGTCAGAAACAGAATCTTAGTGCTATTAATAAACAGTACAGCACATACAAGAAATATGGGTTAGTATGTCTCCTATTAAAAGACAGTTATTTGTTTAATGTTTTATGTCATTCTGAGTCTTTTAAATTTTTATATTTAAGTTACAGAAGGGCCTGCATATTAATATTTCAAGATATAGATTAATGCCTGAGAAAGTCAAACTAAAAATATTTCAAGGTATATTTTATTGGAATAAAATATATGCACTTGAGTAGCTAATATAAAATAAGCTTACATAACTTACCCTTTCTTTTTTTTAAAGGTGCTTCTTCCCCATATGGAACCCCTGTAACTCCACGATTGAACTTGAGTTCGAATTTAGGTGGAATGGCTGCGATTCCTTCCATTCAACTTCTGGGACTTGAAATGTTGCTTCACTTTTTGTTGGGTCCAGAAGTCTTGAGTTTTGCTAAGCACAACAAACTTGTACTGAGCCTAGGTATTTAAATATTTTTAAAATAATTTATTTTTTAAGTTTTTAAAGACAGTCTTGTTCTGTCACCCAAGCTGTAGTGTAGTGGTGGGATCATAGCTCAATGTAGCCTCGAACTCCTAAGCTCTAGGACTGTTGGCATGCGCCATCACTCCTGGCTAATTTTTTTAATTTTAGAGAGATGAGGCCTCTAATATAGAGATGGGATCTCTGTGTGGCCCAGCCTGGTTTCAAACTCCTGGCTTCAAGCAATCCCCCCATCTTGGCCTCCCAAAGTGCTGGGATTACAGGCGTGAACCACCGTGGCCAGCCTAATTTCGGTTATTAAAACAGTCCAGAACTCAGTGTGTTAGGTTGAGGAGAAGTATTATTTTCCTCACGGCCAAAACGCTTTATAATAGTGTGTGAAATAATTATTAATATTTTTAATAGAAAACATATCTCTTAATAGACCATGTAAAATTTTATAGTAAGAAATTTATTTCATACATTATTTGTTTTGCATAATCATCCTCTGTTCTTCCTCTTTCAGAGCCACTTGAACATCCGTTAATCAGCAGCCCTTGTTTTTTTTCCAAACATGCAAATATACTTATCACTGCTGTTCATGATAGCTTTGTTGCAGTTGGAAAAGATGCCTCTGGTAAATATTTAAGAGAAATTTTTACATTATTTGTTCAAAGCTGTGTTTAAAAGGAAGATAAAATAGCAGATACTTAAATGATACCACTTTATTGGCCAGATTATGCAACAAGAGCTTTACATATATTCATTTAATACTCACAGCAACCTTCTGTGTTAGTCTGTTTTGTAAATGGGGAAACTGGGTGGTGTGGAGAAGTAAATAACTTATGCAGAGTCACATAATAAATGGTGGAGCTATATCATTCATGCTCTACCTGTGGAGTCTGTGGCTCCAGCGTCTGCATCTAAACCTCTTTGTTCTATGGTGTATGAAATAGGAACCGAAATTTCAAAATAGTTTGCTATTTAACTGATTGGGCGATGAATCACATAATTTTTATCTATTGGTTGTCAGATATCCTTCTGAATCTTTGTGTTTCCTTATCTCAAAAGTGATAGTTATATAACAAAGAAAATTCAGGAAATAAAGATGATGGAAAAAAGACAAAGCAGTTACCCTTAGTTATACAACCCAGTGTTAACATGTTATAGTCCTTTTAAAAAACATGTTTGTTTTAAACAAAAATGAGGTGATAATGTTTTATAAACTTATTAAAGTGTTGAATATCACAAGGGAAATTAAATTATTGAGTTCAATTTGTTATTTCTTTAGTATAAGGAACAAAAGGGAGAGCCTTTGTTTAGTCATATGTACTTTATTAAAAATACTCGTTTATTTGGTTTGACAGATGCAGTTGTCAGTGCTATCTGGAAGGAGCTCATTAACTTGGTGAAGTCAGTTACTGAATCAGGTATGCACTGTTGTACTCATCAAATGATAAATGATTTTTATAGCATCCAGTGAATTGTTTGGCTTTCATATATAAAATGTATTTTAAAATCTTTATATGGTATCACGGCTTCCAGAATTTAATTTGTAGTTGACTCTTGAACAGTGCTGGGTTTAGGGGTGTCCAACCCCCATTCAGTCAAATCCACAAATAACTTTTGACTCCCCCAGAACTTAATGACTAATAGCCTACTATTGACTAGAAACCTTACCAATAACACCAAAGGTCGATTAACATATTTTGTATGTCATATGTAGTATATACTGTATTCTTACAATAATGTAAGTTAGATAAAAAAATGTTCCTAGGAAGAGAAAATATATTTACTGTTTATTAAGTGGAAGCGGATTATCATAAAAGTCTTCATGTTGAGTAGATTGAGGAGGAGGAGGAAAAGGAGGAGTTGATCTTGCTGTCTCAGGGGTGGCAGAGAAGAAAGAAAGTCTGAGTATAAGTGGACCCATGCAGGTCAAACTTGTTTAAAGGTCAACTGTACTTTTAAAAAAGCACTTATTGTTGATTTTAGTAAAAAATAATTTTTTATAGCTAAGTGCATATATTCACCACTAAAAATACTACACCCTTCCTTTTGCTTTTTGATAGGTAACAAAAAAGAGAGACCAGGTTCTGAAATTTTGACCCTCTTAATAAAATCTTTGGAAAGCATAGTCAGGTCTGAAGTATTTCCTGTGTCCAAAACACTGGTGAGTATAATACCTATATGTTGGACATTAAAAACCATATTTTGAGATTGAATTTTACATTGGAGATATTGCACAGATTAAGTTTGGGAAGATTTTCTTTTAAAAAATAGAGACAAGGTCTCACTGTTGCCCAGACTGGAGTACAGTGGTGTCATCATAATTCACTGTAGCCTCACTCCTGGGCTCAAGCAATCCTCCCAGCTCAGCCTCCCAAAGTGCTAGAATTATAGGCGTGAGCTGCCGTGCTCAGCCAGGAAAGACATTTTTTATATCAAGTATTTATCTCTAATTTAGTCCTGTGGTAATAAATGCCATTATTGACTTATATTGACTTTAGAGTCATTCAAAACCTTTTTAATAAAGTAAATGGCTATAACAGTAACTACAAAAATCTTTAACGTGATAAGAAAATGAGTCAACCATACAGAGAAAACGAGGTAAAGGATGTGAAACTTGAACTAAAGAAACTAAAATGTTTGATAATTTTATGACAAGATTGCTGAGCACCAATAATAATTAGCTGGTACATTGTTTTAAATTAACTCTCTTTAACCAAGATAATGATTTTGATATTAAACATTTTTTAACCTATATAGTACAGAAGGAAAAGTGAATTGGATATAATTTTTTTTTTGAGACAAGAGTCTCACTCTGTTGCCAGGGCTAGAGTACCGTGGCATTAGCTTAGCTCACAGCAACCTCAAACTCCTAGCCTCAAGCAATCCTCCTGCCGCAGCCTCCCCGGTAGCTGGGACTATAGGCACACGGCCACCGTGCCTGGCTAATTTTTTCTGTTTTTAGTTGTTGGGCTAATTTCTTTCTATTTATAGTAGAGATGGGGTATGGCTGTTGCTCAGGCTAGTCTCGAACTCCTGAGCTCAAACAATCCTCTCGCCTTGGCCTCTCAGAGTGCTAGGATTACAGGCATGAGCTACCACGCCCAACCTGGATATAATTTTTATAATAGTATGAGCCCCCCAAAATAAGCTGCAGATGGAACAAACAATACTCTATTTAAATTCTTTTTGATTCTGTTTCTTTTATATACTATGACAATTATATGTTCTGTGACAGTATAGTGTAGAAATTAATAGCAAGGGCTCTGGAGCAGACTAGTTTAAATCCTGGCCCAACTATTTGTTAGCTGAGTGAATTTGGTCAGTTTATTCTCTTGGCCCTATAGTACCTCATTTGTAAAAAGTGAACATAGCAGTAGTTGCTTTATTCTCTTGGCTTTATATTACCTCATTTGTAAAAAGTGAACATTGCAGTAGTTGCTTTGAAGATTAAATGAATTGATACATTCAGAGTACTATGGGCCAGGCAGAAAATAAATGCCATCTATTGTTATCATTGGTGTCTTTCAAATGATAGTATGTGAAAGCATATTTTCACTAATATAATCCTTTGTCATATTGTTATGACCCTCGAATTATGTAGTGCATGTTAATACTACCAGCATTGTAATATTTTTGGAGGACAGTTTGGCTCAGTCAGATTTTGAGTTAGCAATCTTAGAAACAACTTTTAGTTAGTAATTCTTTGAATATTTGCTTCAGGTACTAGGGATGATTTAATTCATTGCAGAATTTCTTTCAGCAGTATAAAAAAATAAAAATAGCTTCAAGGTCCATTAACAGAATTAATTATGGGCATTCATATAGCAATATCTACGTATATTAATGGCAAAACTCCATAACAAAATAAAATTAAAGGTCAGTTGCAAAGTTTAATATCATTAATAATTTACACACAGTATATCTTAATTAATGATTTAAAGGAATGTATAACAGCCCAAGGAAGTTATGTGTTTTTCTGTGTACTTACATATACGGAAATTCAGAAGAGCTAGGAAAATGGACTCCAAACTGAAAGCATTGATTATCCCTGGAGATTAAGGACTCTCTCGTTTTCCTTTCTGTATTTCTGTGTTTGAACTTAAACTAATGTGAATATATTCTTGTTAATGGGTATATTTTGATTAATGAGTGGACAATACTTGTAATAAATTGTTGAATTAAAAATAGTTAACATTAGCAGATTTTTACTAAGGAAAGTAATATTTTTACGGCTAATTTACTGTAAAACCTTTTCTCTTTCTTAGGTCCTCATGGAAATTACAATTAAAGGACTTCCTCAGAAAGTATTAGGTTCACCAGCATATCAGGTTGCTAATATGGATATTCTTAATGCAAGTATCTTAAATGTAATGATATAAAGATTGGCCAAAAAAGTTTTTATATTTCCCTTTCTTTAAAAAAAAGTGATAACTTATTATAAAATTCTGAGAGTAGTGGATTTGAAATATGTTGACTAAAGGGAAAACTTGATAGACAAAGTAATAAGTTAATGTAAGAATTAAATAATATGGTGCTATGTGAATAATGAAAATATTTTCCTTATTTCTGTAAAAGACTCTAGAAGGAATATTTTCTATTTGTTTATATATAATAATAGCGCTAGTTACTGTTACAAGTTTTGGAAACTTAAGAACATTAACTTAATAATGTAAAATATACTTACTATATATGAGATGTAGGTATTGTGAGTCTAGCAATTTTAAGTTAATGTTTTTATATCTGGATTCTCTCACCATTTCTTGATTTCTCATGTAGAGGAAATCAGCCATGATAGGAATATAAAAGACCGGATTTTTGTGTGTAGTTTTAGGAAATAAATTTACTATCATTTTTGTCATATTCTAAGTAATGCCAAAAGTTAAATTTCTCACTCATGCTGTAAAAATTACATTTCTTACATAACTGATTGTAGAAAACAAGTATACTATTCTTTGTAACTGATAAGACTTCATTCTCTTCTTCAGGGGACTCCAGCTTTGTTCTTAATTCAGTTAACTTTCACCAATCTCTTGGAATGTGGTATAGCAGATGAAAGGTAAGCTTGTACTTCAAATAGAAAAGTATGTAATGAATGAGATTTTTAAACAATAATTTCATAAGTTTTTAAAAATCAAAATGACTTTAGAATTTATCATTTTTTGTTTCCGTGTCAGTTACTATTTTTAGAATTTTATTAAAGTTCAACTAATGTATTTCTGCAAAAAGTACAGGTTAATGCATTGTTCATAATTTTTTCTTCAGGTTTTTTCTCAATCTTGAAGCACTTGTAAGCTGTGTTCTTTCTGGTCCAACTTCACCATTAGCTTTCAGTGACTCTGTTTTAAATGTTATTAATCAAAATGCAAAGCAATTGGAAAACAAGGAGCATCTCTGGAGAATGTGGAGTATTATAGTTACTCCGTTAACTGAATTGATTAATCAGGTATGCTGTAAGTCTGCTACATATTTCCCCCAAAATTTAGAGAGTATTTTCCCCTCTTTTCTTATTGCAGAACATGGGGAAATGAATAGAAGTTTGAATGTAAATAGATGATGTTAAATATTTTTTTCTAGTGGAATTGGTAAATCATCTTCTCTTTGGATTGATTTCATTGCATTTCTGCTTACTGATAAAGTATAATTTAATGGGGACTAATCAGGTTCATTTTCTCCAGTAATGATTATAAAATTAGAAGGCTCACACATAATATGTATAAATTCTCTTGTTTATATATTCAGTTCTCTCAGTAGTTGTACTAATAGGTGATAATAACAGTGGTCTTTTTTTTTTCCCCTTGAGACACAGTCTTGCTCTGTGACCTCCACCCCACCTCACCCCACCCTCTGTAGAGTGCATTGGTGTCATTGTAGCTCACTGCAACCTCAAACTCCTGGGCTCAAGCAGTCCTCTTGCCTCAGCCTCCCAAGTAGCTGGGACTACAGGCTTGTGCCACCATGCCTGGCTAATTTTTCTATTTTTGGTAGAGATCGGGTCTCACCCTTGCTCAGGCTAGTCTCAAACTCCTGAGCTCAAGCAGTCCTCCCACCCCTGCCTCCCAGAGTGCTAGGATTATATTAACAGGCGTGAGCCATTGCACCTGGCCAACAGTGTTCATCTTAATTAGGCTATATATTCCTATGGTCAAGCCATGTTGCTCATTACCTCAGAGCTATATAGTATCCCCCTAAGTCAAGAATTTTTTAAGAGTTCACTAATCCATTCATTTGAATACTTAGCAAATCGACAGGGAATGGAGCACAAGTTCTGTCACTATTCATGATTTTTTAGCTTCTTTATCAGTCTTTAATTAGAAGTACGTATTCTCTGGCTCATTCCACTGTAACTGAAAAGTGAAATGAAGACTGAAAGGAAATTTTTTACATTATGGGGAAGTAGCTCTTGTTTCGGCTACTCAAGGTAGCACACTATTAAACATTACTCTTCTGGAAGAAAAATAGTTTACATTCCTCAATAGCTTCCACTGTTGGAAGGATAGCAGAGACCCTTCGTTTTTTAAGTCCTTGTTTGAATGCTATGTATGTATAGTAGAAGATTTCAGAGTCGCCTCTGGGATTCTTTTTTAGGACTAAAACATAGCACATTACTTTCCCAGGATTGCTGTTATTAACAAATTACCACAAACTCATAGCTTAAAACAGCAGGGATTTATTCTCACATTTTTGGAGACCAAATATCCAAAATCAAGGTGTTAAGTAGGATTGGTTTCTTCTGGAGTTGTGAGGGAGAATCTATTTATGCCTCTCAGTTGGTGGTTGCTGGCAATCATTGACCTTCTGTGGCTTGTAGCCACATCACTTGAATTTCTGCATCCATCCTCATGTGGTAGTCAACCCTGCATCAATCCAAATTTTTCCTTTCTTATAGGGACGCCATTCATTGGATTTGGGCCTGCCCTAATCCAGTATGACTCATCTTAACTTGATTACATCTGCAAAGACCTTATTTCCAAATAAGGTGATGTTCCCAGGTTCTAGGGGTTAGGAATTCAACATCTCTTGAATATCTCCTCGTTGGGAGACACAATTATACCTACTGCATATGTTATGTTACTACTTAGGATTAGAATTAGATGATAATTTGTCTAACTTCTTCATTATTTTTCTTATTTCAGACCAATGAAGTGAATCAAGGTGATGCCTTAGAACATAATTTTAGTGCCATCTATGGTGCATTGATTTTACCAATAAACCATATTTTTTCAGTACAGAAATTTCCAGTGGTAAGGCATTGTCAAGTTTTTATGTGTAAGGAATTTGTGCTTTTCTGGAAGTATTTCACTCTTCATAATGAACTTCTACAGTAATTTTTCCTAAAATAAGACTTCCTTATGACTTTGTTATTAGCTTAGGAGAAAGGGAAATGGTGAAAGAAGAGAGAAGTTCCTTTGGATCTTTGATAATTGCTGATGTTTTTGGCATTATTTCATCTTTTCAATTAGAACTGGGGAGGGGGTGTTATTACCCTATGTTAATCTCTTCTGTGGCACATTAAATGTTCCACTGTTTTTTAAAAATGTTAAAGATGTATTGATTCTGTCAGTTGTTTGATACATAGATACACATTTATGAAATTTCTTTTTTATTGTTAGGCCACTATGAAGACCTTAATTAGAACTTGGTCAGAATTATATAGAGCATTTGCTCGCTGTGCTGCTTTGGTGGCAACAGCAGAAGAGAATTTGTGCTGTGAGGAACTTTGTTCCAAGATAATGTCCAGTTTGGAAGAAGAAGGCCTTTCAGTGAGTTTTGTCTTAGTACTGCCTTTTTTTTGTTGTTTTTAGTTTAAGGGATTCTTTTCAAGTCAGTGGAGATAACATTTGTGAACTATCACTAATGCTTCAGTTTTATAAATGACTAAGTTAATATTGAAAACAAATATGGCTTTGTGAAACAATATTGTATCTTTGGGCTTTAAGGTTCATGTTTCGGGATCATTGGCAGTGAGGATCTTTTACTGCTCTACTGTATACTTCCTTGTGCTTGTGCCATTCTAGATTAACAGCACAAGGCCCTTGATGGTCCTGGACCTCACTTTCCTTGTATCTGTCTGTTAGACCTTTAAAGTCAATCCCTTTGGAAGTTTATAGTCTTAAAAGTACCTCTTTTTACTCCTTCCTTCCCTCAATAAAGATACCATTCTAGAGTAGACCTTTTTGTATTTACACATGTAGTTTACATAATTACATATGTGTATGAATATGAATGCAGTATTCTTGCCAATGAAATCCTATTGTATCCTGAAATTATTTATGCAAGTTTTCATGAAACACTGTCTTGGCTTTTTTGCAAGTCCAGATAGCTCTGTTATTCCTTTTAACTGCTATATAGTATTCTGTAGTATGACTGTGCCATTATTTGGAATTCTTCTATTTTATGGACATTTTGGTTGTTTTCAGCTCTTTACTATGATGTGTAGTCCTGGTAATTGTCTTCGCACACAAGTCATTGTTTTTCTATGCAGAATTTTGTTGGTTTTTTTTTTTTTTTCTTTTTATTTAGAGACAGGGTCTCCACTTTGTTGTGCAGGCTGATCTCAAACTCCTGGCCTCTGGCAAAATCCTCCTGCCTAGGGCCTCCCAATGTGCTAGAATTACAGCCACACCCAGCCCTCTACGCAGATTATTGAAATAAGATATGTTGTGCCTGTTTCCTTTACATCTTGGTAATATTTGACCTATTTTAATGTGGGATAAAAGAAAGTAAAAATATATTTTGTTAAATTCTTATTGTAAAATTTTTTTAACAACAAAGCAAAATGTTTAAGTTCCCCTTCACACATCTTTTGCCAGTGGTAACCACTACCAATAGTTAGATATTCATCTTTTTAGTATTTTTAATGCATTTATATACATATCCTGTACTTTTAAATAATAGTACAATTCTGATTATTGTATTTTGATATAATAGTATTTGTCAGAGTGATATTAAAACTGTAAATCAGATCTTGTCACTCTTGAAACATTTCTGTAGCTTTCTGTTAAATTTATAATAAAAATCTGACCTCCACATAACTGCCAGTGAGGCTTCTGCTTCCTTCTCCAAGAGCCTTGTTAATTTCTCTAATTAGGCTCGTTAATTTGTATGATAACACACTGTTACTTCCTTTTTATCACTTGTCTCAAAATGGTTCATTTCTATACGTCATTATGTTATTTGACCCACACTCCACAAGATTTGGTTTATTGTCTGTCTTTATGGTGATTGTCTCTGGCATCCAAGCACATACACACTGAATGAATACTTTCAGTGTTTTTATAACTGGTAGGGAGAAGCTTGACCCTTAATTTTCACCTTTTAAAAATTGTCTTGCTTAGGCTTGTATCTTTGTTCCTTTCCAGAAGAAATTTGGGGTCTATCAAATTTTATAAAATAACCCTGTTGAGATTTTGCTTGACATTGATTACACTGAATTCACAGATTACTTTGGAAAAGAATTTACATCTTTATAATATCAGGTCTTTTCTTTCCAGGAATATGTGTTTTTATATATTTAGGTCTTCTAAAGTTACTAACCTACTTGGTTATTGTTTCTAAGTTGTTTTGTTTTTTTACCTGTTATAAATGGGTCTCTTATTCCCCCATATTTGGCTGTTGCTGAAGTATATAAAAGTTGTTGTTAACGTATTTCCTTGTACTGAACCAGTCTTGTGTCCTTGGGATACACGTCTTGGTCACAGTGCTATTCTTTTAAAGCATCACAGGATTAATGTTTTTTAAGTTTTCTGCATTTATCTTCATTACTGAGATTGGAGTTCTCATTGTCTAATTTTTTGTATTGTGGCAATACTAATAACCTCTTGGAATGATTTAGAAACTTGTGTTTGTCACCAATTTAAATAGTGTTAAGAAGAATGCCCTATCTTTAGTTAAACATTGTCATTTTTGGGTTTTTTGGTTTTGTTTTGTTTTGAGAGAGAAAGTCTCACTGTGTTGCCCAGGCTGGATTGCAGTGGCTATTCAGAGGCACAATCATAATTGCACTACAATCTAGAACTCCGGGTCTCAAGCAAGCCTCCTGAGTGGGTGGGACTACAGGTGCATACCATTCTGCCTGACTTGTCTTTTTTTTTTTTTTGATTGAGAGTCTCACTGTGTTGCCCCGGCTAGAGTGCCGTGGTGTCATCCTAGCTCACAGCAACCTCAAACTCCTGGGCTTAAGCGATCCTCCTGCCTCAGCCTCCCGAGTAGCTGGGACTACAGGCATGCGCCACCATGCCCGGCTAATTTTTTCTGTATATTTTTAGTTGTCCAATTAATTTCTTTCTATTTTTAGTAGAGATGGGGTCTCGCTCTTGCTCAGGCTGGTTTCGAACTCCTGAGCTCAAACAATCTGCCCACCTCGGCCTCCCAGAGAGCTAGGATTACAGGCGTGAGCCACCGCGCCCAGCCCTGACTTGTCTTTTTTGTTAAGTCTCACTCCTGTTTTCTTGGTTGGCCTTCCTAATCAAAGGCTTGTCTATTTTAAGTCTGTCAAAAATACATATAGAGTTCAGTTTTATTTTACTTATCACTACTGCTTTTTTCTTCTGTGTGTCATTATGTACATTGTTTGGTTTTGTTTCATTTCTGTTATTTATTTTTCTGCCTAACTCTGAAAGCTTAACTGTGGGCTGGCCTCAATGGCTCACGCCTGTAATCCTGGCACTCTGGAAGGCCAAGGCAGGAGGATTGCTTTGAACTCAGAAGTTCCAGACAAGCCTGAGCAAGAATGAGACTCTGGCTCTACCAAAAAGAAAGAAAAGAAAAAACCCAGCTGGGCATTGAGGCATCCACCTGTAGTCCCAGCTACTCTGGAGGCTGAGGCAGAAGGATTGCTTAAAGCCCCGGAGTTGGAGGTTGCAGTTGCTCCTGCACTCTACCCAGGGCAACAGAGTGATACTCTGTCTCAACCAAAAAAAAAAAAAAACAGTGCAACTGAAAGCTTAACTTTGATCGTTTCAAATATATGCATCTAAGACTATTTTTATTATTGCTATCAGTGATCATATAGACTATTTTGATGTCTTTTTTAACAGAACCAGGAAGGGTGCTTTTTCATTTAAGGCAAGAGTTTATGGATGTGTGTGGCTATCTTATTATTAATTTAAAAATTTTTTTTGTATTGTGATCAGAGAGGGTTATCTGACTTCCAGTTTGGGGAGTTATGCCACCTTATAACTCTTTGTGGTAATATAGTTTTATAGTTGTCTGTTTCTAAGACAGTTGTGATGTCTCCTTCATTGTGAATTTGATGTGTATTAACATTCTACTCCAGCAAATGAAGACCTTGGTATGATTTTACTATACCACAAATTTCTACTTGCTTTGCCACCTTCTAGGTTTTGTTGAAAAATCAGAATTTTAATTTTAGTCCTCCCTTATTCAGGGTACCATAAAGCATGGAAAGCAAATATTTTTTTTCCAAAATTGAAGATGCTAGTGACAAGGGCTATGTATATCTGTATATTTATTAGAATGTTTTGTGTTACACGACATTAAGTACCAATTTTATTGTGCAGCTTTGTTTTTTAATATCCCATGTTTTCCTTCACTGTATATTTTTTTTCTTTTTTCTTTCTTTTTTTTTTTGAGACAGGGTCTTGCTCTGTTGCCCAGGCTAGACTGTAATGTCATCATCATAGCTCACTGCAGCCTCAAACTCCTAGGCTCAAGCAATCCTCTTGCCTCAGCCTCCCGAGTAGCTGGGACTACAGGCATGCACCACCATGCCCAGCTAATTTTTTCTATTTTTGGTAGAGACGGGGACTCGCTCTTGGCTCAGGCTGGTATTGAACTCCTGACCTCAGCCAGTCCTGCCTCAGCTTCCCAGAGTGCTAGGATTATAGACGTGAGCCACTGCACCGGGCCTCCTCTACCATATTTTATTAACGTTTAAGAAAAAAAGGAATAATAACTTTTAGATGCATGGTTGCTCTCCTTGTCCCATACTTAATCATTTATTTATGAAATGTAGGTTCCAGAAAATTTATATCACACAATTTTTAAAAATCATTTTGAGATATTATTGACATACAAATAGCTATACATATATAATATATACATGACTGTCACCACAATCTATGCAATAAACATCCACTACTTCCAAAAGTTTCCTCATATTCTCTTTATTATTAATATTATCTTTTGTGATAAGAACACTTACCTGTCCTCTTAGCAAAATTGTAAATATACAGTACAGCATTGTTTATAGACACTATGCCATACAATAGATTTTTAGGACTAACCTCTTGTATAAATGAGACTTTGTACCCTTTGACTAATATAATGTCATATCCCTCCTTTCCTCAAATAAGTGGTATCACGTATTTTGTCTTCTGTGTGTGGTTTATTTCACTTAGAATAACGTCCTCCAGGTTCATCTGTGTTGTCTTAAGTGGCAGGATTTTCTTTTTGAAGTCTCAGTAGTGTTCTGTTGTAGTATATACTTCATTTTCTTTATTCATTCCTCTCTGGAACACTTAGGTCGCTTCCATTTTTTGGCTTTTGTGAATAATACTAGAAGGAACATGGAGTGCAGGTATCTCTTTGAGGTACTGATTTCATTCCTTTTGATATATACTAAGAAAAGGGAGATTGTTAGATCATATGGTAGTTTTAGTTTTAATTTTTTGAGGAACCTCCATACTATTAATATTTTCCATAGTGATGCACCCATTTATATTCCCACCAACAATGTACAAGGGTTCCCTTTATTCATATCCTAGCCAATACTTATCTCTTATATTTTTGATAATAGCCATCCTAACGGGTGTGAGGTGATATATTGTTGTGGTTTTGATTTGCATTTCCCTGGTGCTTAGTGTTTTTGAGCACCTTATCATATACTCGCTGGCCATTTGTATGTCTCTGTTTGAGAAATGTATATCCAGGTCCTTTGCCCATTTTGAAATCTAGTCATTTGTTTTCTTACTGTTGAGTTGTTTGAGTTCCTTGTACATTTTGGGTATTAACCCCTTATCAGATGTGTGGTTTAGATATATATTTTACCATTCCAGTGGTTGCCTCTTCACTCTGTCGATTGTTTCCTTTGCTGTGCAGAATCCTTTTATTTTCACTTGCTAGAATCCTATTTATTTTTGCTTCTGTTGCTCTGTGCTTTTGTTGTAATATCCAAGAAATGATTGCCAAGACCAATGTCAACATGCTTTTCCCCTGTTTTCTTCTACTGGTTTTACAGTTTCATGTCTTAGATTTAAGTTGTTAAGTCTTTAATCCATTTTGAGTTAATTTT